CATCATTTGAACTAGTGGACCGTGACAATTGTGCACGCCCTCTTTCTCTTTTCCTCAGGCAGTAACAAATGAGGGATATTGCTTGTGCACACAAATCATGGGTTTGTCTCATCGGGAAGAGTACAGGTAGTCCTTGACTTACAATACTTCATTTCGTCACAGTTCAAAGTTATAGTACTGACCAAAAGTGACTTATGACCATTTTTCATACTTACGACAGTTGCAGTGTCTCCATGGTCCCATGATCAAAATTTGGATGCTTGGCACCTGCCTCATATTTATGACCTTTGCAGTGTCCCGGGATCATGTGATCACTTTTTGCACCCTTCTGACAAGCCAAGTCCATCGGAAACCCAGATTCACTTAACAACCGCGTGATTAAGTCAACAACTGCAGTGATTCACTTAACAACTGTGGCAGCAAAGGCTGTAAAATGGGACAATGCCCACTTAACAACTGTCTCGCTTAGCAATAGAAATTTTGGGCTCCGTCCTGGTCGTAAGTCGAAGACTGCCTGTATAGGGAGTCCTCAAGTTATGACCTCCATAGAGCCCACAATTTCATCATAAGTCATGACAGTCGTAAAGCGGGTCAGCCTATAATTGCACCCAATTTTACTACCTTTTTTTGCAGAGGTTGTTAAGCAATCATCACGGTCATTAAGCAAATTCATTGTTTGCTATGGGACAGTTTTTACCAGAAACCAGAAGTAAGTTTCCAGCAAAAATGTCATAAATTGTAGTTGCGTGACCACGGGATTCTACAAACAGCCGTAAATGAAGGCTGTTTGCTGAGTGCACAAAATATAGTGCTATGACCATGGGGTGGAGGAAAACCCAGACATCAGGATTTTAAAACCGGGCCGTAATTCCTCTACAACAGGGTTATTAAAATTTGGCCTGGAGGGCCGGCCTGGAAATATCAAAGGACTGGCCCACGGTGCCTCTGCCGGCCAAAACAGGCCCGTTTTCAGCCTCCACAGCCTCCTGCAGCACTCTGCCAGCAAAAAATGGGCCACAGGGAGGCCTCGTGAGGCCTCCACACGGCCCGTTTTTGACCAGCAGAGTGCTGCAGGAGGCGTCCATCCCGTCTCCTCCCCCCGCTCCCCACCTCCCCTCGCCCACGGAGGAAAACTACAATGCTGATTCGGCCCTCGAACAAATCCAGTTCGACACCCTTGCTCTACAATATGTCTATTGTAACTCTGAATGGTTTGAACCAATGTAAAGGGAGGACTACCTGTAGAATCACAAACTCAATAGGAGATAATCCCTCAGCGTCCCACAGAAGGCATTGCAAGAAAGTCTAGTTAGTACCTGCTGCATGGAATCTGAGGACAGGAAAATACAATTTCCAGTTCAGAAGGAGAAACAGATGGCTAATTTGGGCTTGAAGACATGGTCTTCCTGAGGGAAGTTCTTGGAGTGACCAGTTGTTAGCTTCTAGGAAGCCATCTTAGTCCTCTGCTGGCCTGTTTAAATAAAGGAATCCAAATCACATATCAAACTGGAGTTTAGAAGCCAATCACAGTTTGCCGTCATGGCAAGCATAGAAACACAGAGAAAAAAAATTAGCAATTTATTTTCATGTATATGTTGTGAAGGGCTCTACCACCCATTGGCTGTGGTAAAGGGGTCACCATGGCCAACTCGCCATGGCCAAGTCATCATGGGACAACTTGCTGCAGAACAAGAGTTAGACTAATATCAAAGAAATGGTGGAACAGAATCATTAAAGAAGGGCTACTAAAGAAGGGACAAAATAAAATGGAAATGACAAAATTTTTAAAAATATTTTAATTATTTTAAACAATTAAATTGAATTGTTGAATTATGCCATAGCAAGTTGTCCCATGGCAAACTTAGGAACTGTAACAGTAACAGAGTTGGAAGGGACCTTGGAGGTCAATTAGTCCAACCCCCTGTTCATGCAAGAGACCTGTACTAGGGATTCGAACTGCCGAACTGCCGACCTTTCTGATTGACAAGCTCAGTATCTTAGCCACTGAGCCACCTAACCAGGTGATGAGATACTTCCTTAGAGCAGTGTGTCTCAACTTTTAAATGTATGGACATTTCTGATTGACAAGCTCAGAGTCTTAGCCACTGAGCCACCTAGCCAGGTGATGAGATACTTCCTTAGAGCAGTGTATCTCAACTTTTAAATGTATGGACATCAACTCCCAAAATTCCCCAGTCAGCACAGCTGTGTTATTCAAAGTCAATTCATAAAAATGGCAAAAATATAAGATATTAGACTTTCCCAGACAAAACGCCATTGAAACAACAGTACCACACTAATGAAAAAATGACTCGGAAAGTAATCATTTATTTCTACCTCCTGTGGTTTCATTGATGTATTTGTTTTTTTATGGTTCTTAAGGCTGCTTTTAATTGTGTTGTTTCTATCCTACTCCACCCAGATTCACATCCGTGAATTGAGTGGCGGTATAAATTTGGTATTAATTTCTACCCACACTGACACCAAACTGCACCAATTTGATTGGAGCAATACAAGAATCACCAAATCTATCAACTGACTCACAGTCACTCATGCCCTAGTCACTTTCTGTCTTGACTATTGCAACACCGTCTACATGGGGCTCCCCTTGAAGAGCATCCGGAAGCTCCAGTTGATGCAAAATGAAATGGAACACATGATTTTGTGCAGACCCCAGTGTGCACATGTATTACCTCTCCTGCAGGAGCTGCATTGGTTGCCGATTTGCTTCTGGGTGCAATTCAGGGTGCTGGTTGTCACCTTTAAAGCCCTTCAAGGCTTGGGACCAGGTTATCTGAGGGACATCTACCCAACCCATCAGACCAGGGAGGCAGGGAATGTTGTGGGTCCCATCCCTTGTGAAGATACACCTGGTGAGACACAGAAGAATGGCCGCCTCTGTGGTGGCTCCCTCTCTCTGGAGCATCATTGCCCCACTCTAACACTCTTCCAGAAGGTGCTGAAGACCTGGTTCTGCTAGTGGGCCTGGGGAACCCAGAGTGGGATGGAACCAGGGGTGAAATATAAAATTTGTTACTATTGGTTCTGTGGGCGTGGCTTGGTGTGGGGGGGTAATGTGCCTGGGTGGGTGTGACCAATTCTTTTTTTTTACTTTTAAAAGCATTTTTTCTACAAACTTTAGAGGTTGCAGAAAAAACATGCTTTTAGAAGCCTCTGACGATCAGCTGGGATCAACAGAGGCTTTTAAAGGCATTTTTTTTCCTACAACCTCTTCGGCTGAAGAGGAGAAAAAAAATGCATTGAAAAGCCTCTGACAATCCCAGCTGAGCTGTGCGATCATCAGAGGCTTTTTAAAAAAACTTTTAAAAGCATTTTTTTCGCCAAAGAGGAAATTAAATGCTTTAAAAAAAAAACAAACAAACCAGCCTCTGGTGATCGTGTGGCTTAGCTGGGCATGGGGGGGGGGGCGGCGCAGGGAATTTTGCAACCCGTTCTCCGAACCACCCTCCTCCATTGCTACCAGATTGAGCAATCCGGTCTGAACTGGGAGCATTTCACCCCTGGATGGAACCCATTAAATAGCTTGTGTGATGTGCTGTCACGGGGTGAAAGGGTGAAGGGGTGGGGGGGTGATTTTATTATGTTATATTAATTTATTTGATTTTTTAAATTAGTTTTATTGTTTTAAATGAAGTTTTTATATTCTGTAAGCACCTTGAGTCGCCATGTGCGAATAAGCAGCAATATAAATTCAATAAATAAAATAAAATAAAATAAAATAAAATAAAATAAAATAAAATAAAATAAAATAAAATAAATAAAATAAAATAAAATAAAATAAAATAAAATAAAATAAAATAAAATAAAATAAAATAAAATAAAATAAAATAAAATAAAATAAAATAAAATAAAATAAAATAAAATAAATTGTGAGCTTATCAAATCCTGGAATTACACAAGCAATTCCATCAACCAACACATTGTCCTACAACCAGCCTATGAACCCCTGAGAATTCAAATCCACCGCACAGGGGATGGGTCTCGCTTTTATTCTTGGCTTCAAAGCTAGGCACATCCTTGAAAATATAGAAGAAACTGTTACCTGGGAATGTCAGGCCTCATAGATAAAGGAGCCAGAATAGGGAGTTTTCCTGCCTCATAAATTCTGAATCCTGAAAGCATTCTGCTGAATACACAAGGCTATAGGAATGCTCTGTAGATAAGGTGGACAGAGAGAGGGGCCTGAACAAAGAACGCTTCAAAGCAGGGGTCTCCAACCTTGGCAACTTTAAGACTTGTGGACTTCAACTCCTATAATTCCTCAGCCAGCAAAGCTCAGCAAAGCAAAGGAGTTGAAGTCCACAAGTCTTAAAGTTGCCAAGGTTGGAGACCGCTGCTTTAAAGATCACATTGGTAACGAATCTTTGTCTCTGATTGGGTAAACGTTGTTTCTATCGGCATAAAATGTATAAATACTCTGAGTCACTCTCGCAAGGGTGTGGCTATTCCTTACATGCATTTTGTCTATATGTTTTGGATATAGTTTTGTCACCCAGCTTTTGCTTCGGCCATAAATAAATATTTTTTTGCAAGCCTCATCTGGAGTCTCACTTTCTTTAGCATCTCAGTGGCTCGGGGGAAACTTGTGGGACCTTATAGTGGGGAAGGGTTTGGGTCAGTCCTTCTCTCTCAGCCCCAGCCAGGTAGTGGTTGAATTGGAGGAAGAACTTCTATATTCTCCTTTTTTGGGAGGAGAAATCCTCCCACCTAAACCAATGTTTATCAACTTTGGCAATTTTAAGTGGTATGGACTTCATTTCCCAGAGTTCACCAGCCAGCATGCTGGCTGAGGAATTCTGGAAGTTGAAGACTATGTATCTTAAACTATTCAAGAACAATGGCTGTTTCCTAGGATAATTTCAGGGGTGGGCTGCTGGGGGTTTGCAGGGGTTCAGGAGAACCTCTAGCTAAGATTCTGTGCAGTTCGCAGAACCCTCAAATCCCACTCCTGGCTGGCCCCACCCTGCCCACCTCACCCCACCCCACCCCACCTGCCCCACCCTGCCCAGAAGTCCCCATGCGGCCCGTTTTGGATGCAGGTAAATGCAGGGCGCATGCAGAGGCTTGGGGAGGGCAAAAAATGGGCCTACTGGAAGTTCAGGAAGGCCGGAAACGAACCTGTTTCCAGCCTCCAGAGGGCCTCCAGAGCATGGTAAGGCCGTTTTTGCCCTCCTGGAGGCTCAAGAAAAGCCTCCAGAGCCCGGGGAGGGCAAAAACACCCCCTCCCCGCCATGGTGCAGGTGTCTGACTAGGCCACGCCCACCATGGCCACGCCCACCCAGCAACCGGGCAGAGAACCTCTTGCTAAAATTTTTGAAGCCCCACCGCTGGATAATTTGCCTCTCAAAGTAGCTTGCAATGGCCCATTGACCAGTTAACAGATATTCCGGATCATCAGACCTGGTTGCTTGCAAGCTTTTTAAATGTTTTAATATGCTAGCAGTTGATTTCTGTCTTTCTGCACCTCCACTCTAGAAGATTTCTACACTTCCCCTCAAAGAAAGCCCAGAAGCCGCCTGGAAAGTATGTTTTAAAATAATAGATTGGTTCCAGCCATTGAGGTTTCTGGTAAGTTGCCCCTCTCCCCTTGGGTTGGGGGGGGGGGGGAAATAATTGATCAGGAAAATAGGGGGGGTTGAAGTTTTGGGCAAAAAACATCTGGTCCAGCTTGCATTTTCAGCCAAGTATCCTAGGTGGTGATTTGGAAAATGACAAAGGATTGACTATTTTTTGTGTTTTGTTTCAGGGTTTCCTGTATGTTTGCTTCCATTACTGGGAGCCGAGCCCTTGGCAAAAAAAGGGCCTGTCCCACTGTGCCTTTTAGATTATCCTGCTTTCTCTAAATTGGGCATGTTTCAGATGTGTGGACTTCAATTCCCATTATTCTTAACAATGGCCATACTGGCAGGGGAATTCTGAAAGCAGAAATGCACACATTTGAAGAGTGCCCTATTTGGGGTGGGGTCTTTTATAGGCCATCTTGGAGCCAGGGTAAATTTTAAGAATCTTTGATTGGAAGCTTGAGTGATTATGGGTAGACCTTGACTTGCAACCTTTGGGTAAGTGACTGTTCAAAGTTACAATAGCACTGGAAAAAGTTCTTCACACTCACGACCATTGCAGCATCTCCATTTTGTGATTAAAAGTTCAAATTCTTGGCAACAGGCTCATATTTATGATGGTTGCAGTATCCTGGGGTCATGTGATCCCCTTTTGCAGCCTTCTAACAAGCAAAGTTAATGGGGGAAGCCAGATTCATTTTACGACCAGGTTACTAACTTAACAACTGCAGTGATTCACTTAACTGTCATAAAATGGGGCAAAACTCTCATAACAAATGTCTCGGCAACAAAAACGTGAGGCTCAATTTGTTGCAAGTCAAGGACTACCTGATTTACTAAGAGTGTACTTTAGGTTTACTAACAATGTACTTGTCACCACTGTAACTGAGTCCATCCACGATTGCTGCTGGTCATCCTCTTTTTTTCCTTCCACGTTTCCCACTATTGGAAACTTCTCCAGAGAACTCGGTCTTTGCTTAATAAAGTAAGATAATTTGAGCCAGGTCATTTGTGCCTAAAGGACCGATTTATTCAATGATCCATTGGTTTATTTTCTTGTCTTGGGAGTCTTCTCTAACACCAAAGTTCAAAAGCATTGATACTCTTCCTCTTTTGTTTCTTCATCAAAATCCTTTTGCTTTTGCTTCCATAGAGTGTCTGGAGGCAGCGAAGTTAGGATGAGAGAGATGGAAAGAAACCAGATTTGTTCTTTCCTGTGGCAATTGGCTCTTGTAATTTGCAAATGCCTTGATCACTACAGCTTACTTGAACTTAAAACACACACACACACACACACTAAGTTAGGTGGTAACTACTTTTCCCATTTGCAAATTGGGAAATTATTGGGGAAAGCAGAAATGGGATATTTCTTGAATGGCTCCTATAGAGAAGGCCAAGATTCGTTTTCTATTGTCCCAAGCAGTGTTCCAATATCTCAGGGGCTGCCACAAAGAAGAGAGAGTCAAGTTATTCTCCAAAGCACCTGAGGGCAGGACAAGAAGCAATGAGTGGAAACTAATCAAGGAGAGAAGCAACTTAGAACTAAGGAGAAATTTCCTGACAGTTAGAACAATTAATCAGTGGAACAACTTGCCTCCAGAAGTTGTGAATGCTCCAACACTGGAAGTTTTTAAGAAGATGTTGGATGACCATTTGTCTGAAGTGGTGTAGGGTTTCCTGCCTAAGCAGGGGGTTGGACTAGAAGACCTCCAAGGTCCCCTCCAACTCTGTTATTCTATATTCTATAAGTGCAGGACACAGAATGATAGATTTAAATTAAGAGAAAGGTCCAGCTGAATTCTGAGGGAAAACTATTGTAATAATAACTCCCAATTCTAAGGGAAATGGTAAGTCATCTTCCTTGCATGTTCTCAAATGAAGGGTCCTCAGGATGTTTTCATGATCTCTGTCCCTTGCAGATGTAGGAGCTGACAGCTGCTAAAAGAAATAGCTTGGTTTTTTAAAAAAAAAACACTAGACAAAAGAATGAATTGTTTGGGTTTGCACATTTTGCTAAATGATAAGATTGCTTTGCTGGGTGATGATTTAGGAACACAGCTTTGGCGGCTTGTAAAACATGTTGATTCTACCCTACTGCGAAGCCAGACAACATGGTTTATTTAGTACAGCCTGAATAAGCAGGGTTTGAACACAACCATTGATCTCTGAATGGGTTTCACGGAGAAACTGTTGTTGTCCCATTGTAAGCTTCCTACAGGTACCTCCTAAAGATGTCCTTGTAAATATTTTGCAAATCACCGAAGCTGAGTTCGCAAATCAAAACCCTGCTTGTTCAGGCTGAACTCCTTCATGAGGAAGATCAGAATTGGGCTTGGCAAAATGTCATCTTGCTTATTCAGACACCACAGCTGTGATTCTTCAATGCTCAAGATGGAAGAATGGTGGCGTGGGGAATTTGCAGATATACTGCTTGGCTAAGGAGGATTCTGGCATCAGAAATTCCTCCTTGGTCTAATTCTCTAAAATCCTGGCCAGTTTAAGAATTGGGCATTTTGCTTTTCTTTTTGCAGTCATCTAGGAAGAGTGGTGTATTATTAAGTTTATTGCTTTACTGTTCCAGCTCCAGTGGCTACTCAAGGGATGTTCCTGGCTTCGCTGCCTGTTTATAGTGAAACCTCGTGACGGTAACAAGCGCCAGCCTGCCACAAAGCGCCTGGGCACAGTGGCTCAGATCCTCTTTGCCATCATCCCGGTCCGATTCCAGCTGGCCCTTGGCTTTTTACATAGCATGTGCCAGAGCATTGAAGTTGAAGGTAAGTCAGGGAAAGAAAGACCAATAGGGGAATGGGATGAAGTTTTTTTTCCCCTTCTTGTTTTTCCAAACTCTGGTTATGTTAGAAAGTATAACCAATATCGTGTTTCCCTGAAAATAAGACCGGGTCTTATATTAATTTTTGCTTCTAAAGACACATTAGGTCTTATTTTCAGGGAAATACGGTACTAAAATTAGTGCGTCTGACTGACGATCTTAACTGGCCCTTGTTTTGGGGGTTGGGTATATATTACGAGCATCCTGAAAAAAAATCACGCTAGGGCTTATTTTCTGGTTAGGTCTTATTTTCAGAGAAACACAGTAATTTTGTAAACTATATTAGGCTGTGATACCATGTTTCCCCGAAAATAAGACCCTGTCTTATATTTTTTTTGAACCCTGAAATAAGCACTTGGCCTTATTGCAATGGACTCAAAAGCCCGATTGGGCTTATTATCAAGGGATGACTTATTTGGGGGGAAACAGGGTAGTCAGCAATGCTACATAAACAGCTTGCTTTTCTCCCCTCCTCTGGAATGTACACACTCCTGGTGGCTGCTTGGACTAGGCATAGCAATTTTCTTGGCAAGGTTTTTAGAACTGATTTGCCATTGTCGCCACCTCAAGGCTGAGAGAAATGAGTGCCCCAAAGTCATCCAACTGGCTTTGTGCCTAAGGCAGGATACTTCAATATTTGAAAGGCTGCTGCCACAGGGAAGAGGCGGTCAACCTGTTTTCCAAAGCACCTGACGGGATGGAGAAGAAGCAATGGATGGAAAGTAATCAAGGAGAGAATCATCCTAGAAATAAGGAATTTTTTTTTCTGGACAGTATAATTTATCAGTTGAAACAACTTGCCTCCAGAAGTTGTGGATGCTCTAACACTGGAGGTTTTTAAGAGGAGATTAAGATGGCACTCCTCAGGGTGCCATCGGCCAGACAGTGTCGGCTGGCGACCCCCAGGGGGAGGGCTTTCTCTGTGGGCACACCTACCCTTTGGAATCAACTGTTCCTGGAGCTCCGGGTGGCCCCTGACCTCCGCTCTTTCCGTCGCGACCTGAAAACGTGGCTGTTTCGTTTGGCTGGCCTGGACTGATGGGGTTTTAATTTTTAACTTGTTAGTCTTAATTGCACTTTTAACTGTTAAATTATGAGATTTGGATTTAATTTCTTTTAACTTTTTCATTAGATGTTTTTTACTGTTGTGAGCCGCCCTGAATCTGGCTGGAGATAGGGCAGCATATAATTCTCTAAATAAATAAATAAATAAATAAATAAATAAATAAATAAATAAATAAATAAATAAATAAATAAATAATATATTTTGTATAAGAATAAATTTTGGACATGTAGTGATATTGTGAAGAGAGGTGAGGGCACTAGGGATATAAACCAACTGATGTACTGTCTGTACTTGATTGAATGAATGATGTTTGTATGTTTTCTTTTTCTTTTTTTCTTTTTTTTTAAAAAAATAAAAAATGATTGGGGGGGGGAAAACAATGTGTCCTCTGCTGGACTCTGCTCTTCTGAATGGTGGAGTAACAAAAGTCTATGCCCAACGTTTTTGACCGAGTGTGACACGCTTCTATTTTATCCAGTAGATTCTTTCCTCGGCCTCCCTTTGGGATAATCAGTGGGTGCAGAAATCACCCCTGTGTTTTCCAGTCCCAGACCACTCTTTTCTTCCTTTGCAGAGACGTTGAAATCGCCTGTCACCCCTTCTATGAGAGGGAGTAAAAGGAAGAAGGAAGAAGATGCTGTTCTGGATGAACCCCAGTGCTGGATAGAAACAATCCTGAAAGATCTTCCAGATAATGATGATTCAGAGGATACCACCTATGAGGTACTGTGATCCCAAAGGTGGTCCTGCTATCAACATCCTTTGCTTCTAGGGTCCTCCTGAGAGTCTCCGGGAAAGTGACAAATAGTGTTTAATAGTAGACAGTTTAAGGTTAAAGTTTTGGGGGTTTGGGGAAGAAACTACAGAGTCAGGTAGTGCATTCCAGGCATTGACCACTCTGTTACTGAAGTCATATTTTCTGCAATCGAGTGTGGAACGGTTTACCTTGAGTGTGGAAAGGTTTACCTTGTATCTATTATTTGCTCGTGTATTGTTGTGGTTGAAGCTGAAGTAGTCATTGACAGGAAGGACATTGTGGCAGATAAGTTGTGTCTTCTGTACAACAGCTGTTAGATTGTTAGAATACCCCCTGTTAAGGAATTCGCAGAGCAACCCTTGAGTAGCAAGGGTGTGCACATAAAAAGCGATTGAGAGGTAATAACACAGCCAACACACAGATACACTGAGTTGTGTTTTCTTTCAGGAAATAGTAATAAGACACAGTCCAATAAACAGTCCAGGTCATACACAGATAAAGCAGTAGATATCAAACAATAGTCCAGGGATATTCCAATAACAAAGTCTTCTTACCAGTCATTTTAGTCATACACAATAACAGTTCTTCTATATTTGCAAACAGTAGCAAACACAGCAAAGCAGCAGCAAAGAGTAGCAAAGAGAGCAACAAAAAGAAATAAACCAGGTTTCTAGCTCCCTCTTAAGGACATTGGCTACAGAGCTAACCAATCAGGACACAGTATGATGCAACATAGCAGTACAGCAGTCTTAAAGCAATATTGATGGTTTATATATTGACAACCCAACAAGTTAGGTAAAAATCATTTCTTAACACCCCCCACACTCTTTATAGTTATATAGTTTACTGAGCACTAGCAAAACAGGGATTTGTTTGTACAGGTTATAGCCACAAATGGACCAGAATTTCTGCTGATAAACGAGGTAGCTGTTAATTGAGACACAGCTGGTTTTACCACCTTTCTTGCCATGGTTGTTAAGCAAATCACGAAGTAAATCATGTGGTCGTTCAGCACATCTGAGTTCCCAACTTTGCTTGTCAGAAGCTGGCTGGGAAATTTGCAAATGGTGATCCCAGGATACTTGCAACCGTTGTAAATACACACTGGTTCCCAAGCAGCTGAATTTTGATGATGTGAACCAGGGGTGGGTTCTAATTTTTTTTACTACCGGTTCTGTGGGCGTGGCTTATTTTGTGGGTGTGGCTTAATGGTCATGTGACAATTATTTAGGATTTAGCAGAGGTACTGGTCTACCAGGCTTTTAACTGCTTGCAGAGCTGTACCATCTACCCATTTATTTTTTGCAGGCACTGATCTACTCATGTATTTTTGCAGGCACCAGTCTACTCATTTGTTTTCTTTTAACACTGCTCAGCTGTAGGACGGCCCTTTGAAGCCCCACGGCAAGAGTTTAAACAGTTTTTTCCCCTCTAGCCATCAGCTGGGACTCAGGAGGCAGCAATAAATTGGGGGTGGGGCCAAATAAAAGGTAAGAATAACGTGGGGGATGGGGGGACGCGGGGGGCGGGGAGGGCAGAACTGGTTTAGTGACGTCATATCGTCACCGCTACCGGCTCAGGAGAACCGGGCCGAACCGGGAGGAACCCACCACTGATGTGAACCTGGGGATGCTACGACAGTTGTAAGCGGAAAGATCTGTTGCAAATCATTTTGTTCAGTGTCATTGTAGCTTTGAACGGTCGGTAAACAAATGGTTGTAGTTCTAAACCTATAGTTCAAAATGAAAGTTTACTGAAGTATTTAGAAAGTGCATTATGCTCAGTTGTAAATCGTGGATTATGTTCCACAAACTCAGCCAATATGATCGCCTTATTCTGGTGGTATGTACTCAGCCAATTGGGTCAATTCAATACACTATGATTAAGCATCCTATGAGTTGGTAAAAAAATGCAAACACAGGCAAGTAGTCCCAATTTTCTGGGATCATCCCGTATTCAAGTATTTAATTCATGCCTGGTTTATCAATTGCTCTGAGCATTAACATGTTTTTAATATTTTGGCTTAGCACCGTGTACAGATCAGCCAACTAGGATTTCTTTAGCAAACCCTGAGATAGCAGAATGTTTGAATCCGAGGTGGGTTTCAGCATGTTCTGACCAGTTCCGGAGAACCGGTAGCAGAAATTTTGAGTAGTACCACCTCTGACTGGCCCTGCCCCCATCTATTCTCTGCCTCCCTAGTCCCAGCTGATCGGGAGGAAATGGGGATTTTGTAGTAACCTTCCCCTGGAGTGGTTAGGGAATGGAGATTTTACAGTATCCTTCCCCTGCCATGCCCACCAAGACATGCCACGCCCACCAAGACATGCCCACAGAAACAGTAGTACAAAATTTTGAAACCCATCACTGGTTTGAATCCAAACTGAGACTCTTATTTTCTTGGAGAGAAATAGATACATATACAGTTTGGACTTTGTGAATTGGTGACAGAAAGAGAATGGTTGTAGTTCAAGTTTGGTTGTTACTAAAAGAAGAGAATGTCTGTAGTTCAAGGTTGACGCCCCTAGCTGGTTAATGAAATATCTGCAAGCAAGCAACCCAGCTGACAGAACACCAAAAATTCCACATGTTCCTACTTAGTTACTATACTCTGCTTTCTTGTGCAATTGAGTGATCTGGACTTTTTCCGGAGAACAGGAATTACTCCAGGTCTTATAAATATATATTTCTTTCTTTACCAGCCCACCAAATCAGAAACCGACAGTGAGGAGTATAAGTCACAGAACGACACTGAAGGTGATCTGGAATACGAGGAGAAGGATGGTTTGGTGATGCTGAAGGAAGACCCAATTTCAACGGTATTTTTTGTAAACATTTCGTCTTGTCATAGCAACATGTGTGATTGGGCTCATTTCCTGCACAGCCACTGCAGGCAAATAATTTTTGACTTATGATCTACCTGGAAAAAGTTAAGTAGCCAATAATTGGTTTAAATAGTTATATTTAGATATGAACAAGGGGAGTTAAAGTGCAAGAGGAAGATAAATCTATAGATAGTTAGCTTATTTTTTTTTTTATGTTTGTTAAATGCTATACCCTGTATTTGCTCTGGGAAGTCCAGGGGGGGTGGGAGGGTTGGGGCAGGAGAGGGGGGAAAATATGTGTAAACTTTTAAAAAAACTTTTCAATAAAAAAAAAAGAAAAAGTTAAGTAGGACCCTGTTTCAAAGTTCTGATGGTCACTGCAAACATACACCCTGCAGTCACATGATTGCATTCCGAGCACTTGGTTAACCCAGCCATGTGCAGCATCCTGCGACCGCAGGACCACATTTTATGATGGTTTAGCAAAACCGTGCCATTACGAACACTGGGTTCACTTATCAACCACGGTGCAATGTCACACAGCCATGTGTGACTGCACTTTATGACTTTTTTTTTTTTGCCAAAAAACAGTGGTTACTTCCGTAAGTCACAGCATCAGTTTAACGACTATTAAAAAAGAGATTGTAAAATTGGGTCAGTCGTGTGGGTGACCTGCTTTTTACAAATGTCATGACTTATGACCTTAATGGGCAGGTTGCATTACAGTTGTAAGTCGAGGGCTACCTGTACAGGAGAACCCAGCCATTCCTCAGCCTGATCATTCAACCTAGAAATAAGGAGAAATTTTCTGACGGTGAGAACAATCAACCAATGGAACAGAAGTTGCCTTCAGAAGTTGTGGGTGCTCCATCACTGGAGGCTTTCAAGAAGAGAATGTCTATGGAGATTCTCAGTCATGTAGGTCATGGTTGTCCCAAAGGTGCTTTTTTCAAGAGGCAACTGGACTTTTCTGGTTTTTCTTTGAAGACGTTTCGCTTGTCATTCAAGAAGCTTCTTCACCTTAAAGAGCTGAAACCAGAGCTGAAGAAGCTTCTTGGATGAGAAGCGAAACGTTGTCAAAGAAAAACCAGAAAGTCCAGTTGTCTCTTGAAACAGCACCTTTGGGGTTTCAAGAAGAGACTCGACAGCCATCTATCAGAAACTAATGGTATAGGGCTGTGATGGCGAACCTATGGCACGCGTGCCACAGGTGGCACGCGGAGCCATATCTGTGGGCACGCAAGTGTTGCCCTAGCCCAGCTCCAGCAGGCATGTGCGTGCCGGCCAGCTGATTTTCAGGCCTTCTGGGCCCACCGGAAGTCGGGAAACGGGCCATTTCCGGCCTCCAGGGTGAGGGTAGGGGAAGCCATTTTCGCCCTCCCCAGGCTCCAAAAAAGCCTCTTGAGCCTGGGGAGGGTGAAAAACGGGCCTAACGGGCCCACCGGTAACCTTTTTGCCGTCACATACCAAAAGCAGAGGGAGCGCAGGGAGGTCGCATGCACATGCGTGGGGGGGCGGGGCACGAGGAGAGCATTGAATTATGGGTGTGGGCACGCACACGCACGACCCCCCTGTGCTCCCCCTGCTTTTGGCACTCGACGGCAAAAAGGTTAGCCATCACTGGTATAGGGCCTCCTGCTAGGGTTGGACTTGATGACCTACAAGCAGGGGTGAAATGTACAATTAGTTACTACCGGTTCTGTGGGCGTGGCTTGGTGGGGGAGGTAATGTGACTGGGTGGGCGTGGCCAACTTTTTTTTTTTTTTAACTTTTCAAAGCATTTTTTCTAATGCTTTGAAAAGCCTCTGCCGATCAGGCAACTCAGCTGGGATCGTCAGAGACTTTTCAAAGCATTTTTTTTACCACCTCTTCGGCCAAGAGGTTGCAGAAAAAAATGCTTTGAAAAGCCTCTAACGATCCCAACTGAGCCGCGCGATCATCAGGGCTTTTTTTTTTACTTTTAAAAGCATTTTTTCGTCGGAAGAGGTTGTAGAAAAAATGCTTTTAAAAATAATTTTAAAAAAACCTCTGATGATCGTGCAGCTCAGCTGGGCATGGTGGGTGGGGCGCAGGGATTTTTGCTACCGGTTCTCCGAACCACCCACCACCATCGCTACCGGATTGGGCGATCTGGTCCGAACCGGGAGTATTTCACCCCTGCCTACAAGGTCCCTTCTAACTCTGTATCCAAGCACAGAAAAATTTGTGATTAACTTATGACTCTTATGTGTTTCAACTCTTATAGCAGGGCCAAAATGGAGAGGGCACTACAGAAGAAACACCCCAAACAGCAGATGTTAGAGAAGAACTAGTGGCATCACGAACATCTGGGGATGACCACAAATACCCAGAGCACTGTCTTTTGACAAGCAGAGGCATCTGTTCCCTAAAGAGCTTGGAAAGTACAGAAATCATGGCCACATCCATCCAAGGCAGTGACACAGTTGATAGCAATGACTCTGAAGATGTTTGGACAGAAGTCAGTTGCCCCGGTAAGGATTTTTTCTTTGCTTGGTATAATCAAAGGCCCCCTTCATCCGTGGAGACCTCATGGAGTGACTTTGAACCAGTCACCATATCTCAGCTCATAGGGTGGAGGGTGGTTTGGGCACAGAAAACCTGGAAGAGAGAACAAATAATGTACAAGAACTCTGATCTCCTGGAGGAAAAGTCAGTTACAAATCTAACATAAAAGTATCAAACCCTTTTCTTTCTTTCTTTCTTTCTTAAACAAAGACCATATTTTCATGAAAATGTTGTATAGGTAGAAAAGAATATTTGTAGCTCAGAGTTGAACTGTGGAGTCCTTAGTGCTCTCTGAGTTTAGTGGTTTTCCTGCAGATACTTTCATTACCAAACTAGGTAACAAAATCATCAGCCCTAACATTGATGATGTTACCTAGTTTGGTAATGAAATGTCTACAAGAAAACCACCAAAGCTCACAGGACCCCACAAATGATGGAAGGCATTGTTTTAGAAAATCTGTTAGCAAAAACTCTACGCAATAGGAATATGGCAAAACGCACCTGTGGAGAAATGGATGAAAGAAATGTTAGGGCAAAGTTTGGGGTGAGGTGGGGGGAATCCTACAATTTGAACCAAAGTTGACAATGCAGAAAAAAATAAGATGTTAAGAGCACCCTAATTTAATACATCCATCCACCCCTTTGGCCAATCTTAAACTCCCATGGCATTTTTAAAAATCCAGCTGTCCCCCTTAGCTCAACTCAACCCTCCACTTCTAAATTAAAAGTGATTTTTTTTTCTCTCATTCCTGCATCTGTCCCCTATCCATGTTTTAGAACAGAGGTCTTCCAACTTGGCAGCTTTAAGACTTGTGGACTTCAACTACCACAATTCTCCAGCCAGCTATGCTGGGAGTTGAAGTCCACAAGCAAGTCCAGCTATGCTGGCTGGAGAATTCTGGGAGTTGAAGTCCACAAGTCTTAAAGCTGCCAAGTTTGACGACCTTTTGTTTTAGAAAACACATTCCTGATCCTACATGTGTTACCTTTGACACACATCATAGATTCACCGTCAGTGTCCTAGAACCAAAAACTTTCTGCATGCTATGCACATGGATGTGACAGATTTGCTTTTCCTCAAATGGTGCAGAGACCTATTACCTTCTAAATTTGTTTTTATATTATTTATACTATTTATTTCTTAATGTATGTTTTTATAACTGTGGTTTTTATCCAATTGTGCAATTGCGCACAGAGTCTCTTTTCATGAGACAAATTTGATAAACATGTCCCTTTTTTAAAAAAAATCTTAAAATGTTGGATAATAAATTAATCCACCTATAATTTTTTTTCTCTTTTTAGAATAATTAGAATTTTCGATGACTGGCTGAAAAATTTCAACTTTTGTGCCAAAGCTGCTCTTCCTTTTTCTGTGCTGCTGTTGCATGGACAAGCTATTTCATAATTGTTTGTTTGTCTGTTTTAGAATTTTGCAATAAAGCTTCTTTTTTCATATTTGTATATTTTGACTGATTCTTTTCAAAGATAATTTCATGAAACTTCTGTTCATCTTTCTGTCTCTTTGGATCATCATCTCATTTTCTGCCAACTGCAGCAAAAAAAATGATAGAAATTATTTTCAGAGTATTTAGTCTCCTGATGAAGATTTTCTTTCTGGGAAGAGCCAAAATTTCTCTTTTAAGGCAACATTACCTGTTATTTACCTGGTAGAAATTTTGGCATACGAATTGCAGATAGTCCTTGACTTATGACTGTTCATTTAACAATGGTTTAAAGTTAGTATGATCTCGGGAAAAGGGCTGAATGCAGTGGTGAAATCCAAATTTTTTTACTACTGGTTCCGTCGGTGTGCGTGGTGTGGTTTGGTGGCGTGGCTTGATGGGTGTGGCAGGGGAAGGATACTGCAAAATCTCCATTCCCACCCCATTCCAGGGGAAGGATACTGCAAAATCCCCATTCCCACCCCACTCTGGGGCCAGCCAGAAGCGGTATTAGCCGGTTCTTCAAACTACTCAAAATTTCTGCTACCAGTTCTCCAAATTACTTAAATTTTCTGCTACCAGTTCTCCAGAACCTGTCAGAACCTGCTGGATTTCATCCCTGGCTGAATGTGTATGGAAATTCTCAATCATCCAGGTCATGGTTATCCCAACGGTGCTTTTCAAAAGGCACCTGGACATTCTTGGTTTTTTTCCTGGAAAATATTTTGCTTCTCATCCAAGAAGCTTCTTCAGTTCTCTTCAACTTGAACTTGCATTTACAACCATCATACTACCCTGCAGCCATGTGATTGCAGTTCGGGCACTTGGCAACTGGCTCACAATTTGCAACCAGATGCAGCACCTGCAACCACATGATCATGGTTTGCAACATGTACATGCTAACCAAAAAAAAACAAAAACAAAAAACCCCAAACAAACACCTATTTGGCTTAATAAAGTCTTCTTTTCCCCCAGAAAGTTAGCTGGGGAGTTCTGGGAGTTGAAGTCCACATATCTTAAAATTGCTTTAAAACGTGTTAAAAACACTTATATCTACAGACCCCTCACATCCTGGACATAAATTGTTTCAACTTCTACCCTCAAAATGACGCTAAAGGGCACTGCACACCAGAACAACTAGACACAAGGACAGTTTTTCCCCAAATACCATCACTCTGTTTAACAACCAATTCCCACAACACTGTAATACTAAGACTGTATTACTATTATTCTTCTCTTCCTTACTAGTATCTATCTCTTCCCACTTATTACTATAACCATGTCGCTTGTATCTTTCAATTTATATTCTTTTTGTTTCCTAGTACGATTTGATAGCTTATTAGTAAACTTGACTATCACTAAGTGTTGTATCTTTTTATTCTTGATGAATGTATTTTATTCTCCTTATGTACACTGAGAGCATATACACAAATTCCTTGTGTGTCCAATCACACTTGACTAATAAAAGAATTATATTCTAATTCTATTCTTATAATCCAAAAGTTGGTGTAATTTAATTAACATAATTTACATCCCAATCCCTTTATTGTGAATCCTAAAGTTACTGATTTTGGGGGAGTGCAAACTTAAAAACTTCTGAATAAGGGCAGTGTGATTTTCCACCAATTTCTGGTAGGAGATAAACTAGGTTAAGTTTCAATACAGACAAAAATGTCATTTATCCCCCAGATCCCATTCAGGCATGGTTCAGTTACCATCAAAATTAAATGCAAACTAACAAAATTACACCAGAGCACTGATACCATATATACCTGGAGGTATTTACTGCCATAGTAAGAATAGCAATGTTTGATGCAGTTCAAAAATGTAGGAAAGCTTCACCTCTAGAGGAATCCTGGTTGCTCTTCTCTGCACTCTTTCTAGAGTCTCGACATCTTTTTTATAGTGTGACCAAAACTGGATGCAGTATTCTAGGTGTGGTCTTACTAAGGCTTTATAGAGTGGTATTAGTACCTTCCTTGATCTTGATTGTATCCTTCTGAAGAGCCAACTGCCTGGGCTCCTGATCACTGTCCTGATACTTGGGCAAAACGATGCTTTGTAATAGATGGGACAATCAAGAGCCACTTTGCTGCGACTGGTTTCGATTCTCCCCGGCTCCTGCCAGGAAGGGACACCCTTTCCAGCCTGTGAGAGCCCTTGCTAGCTCCTTCCTGGGGCTTCCGTAACTAACACAAAGAGAGGGTGTGACAGCTGTTACAGAAACATCTCAGTGACATCTCTTCCTTTGCATGGGGATGGAATTGTCTCACGGGGGTTGTGTCAGTCTCCTATTTCAAGTGTGCTGAGGAACTGGCAGTCCTGTCCTACATCCTGCGAGATAAATAAAGCTGCTTAAAAATATTCCAGAAACATGCGGTGACATTGGGAAGTGTGTGCGTTCCAATGCTATGAGTTCCATTCATGTTTCATCCTGAATCTCTCCTATGATGTCAGTGAATAGCTGAGGCCAAACTGCACATCCTCTTATTAGGTTGTTGATGGGACGAGAGATACATTTGTAATTCTACTAACCTATTTTTTTTTTTTAAACACAGATGTATACAACCTGATCCTTCTGGAAGATTTGGGGCTGACAACTGGAGTCCTCCAATATTTTTTAGATGACAAAGGAGGGAAGAAATCTTAAATACAGGGGGAGATGCTTATTGATAAGATTGATAAACTACCTCTCTCCAGAGGTTGTAAACCAAGGCTTTTTAGCCTTGGCAACTTTAAATTGTGTGGATTTCAATTCCCAGAATTCGCCAGTCAGTGTGAACTCCCAGAATTCCTTAGCAACTTTAATCAGTTTGAATTCCATACATCTTCAATTTACCACTTGAATTCCATACCACCAATTTACCAAAACACTGTTCTAGACCATGTTTAAATACAATCATAACTTAGTATAACAGAATAAGAGAGTTGGAAGGCACCTTGGAGGTGGTCTAGCAGGAGACTGTAGTCCAGTGATGGTGAACTTTTTCGGCACCGAGTGCCAAAAAGGTTATGCGGAAATGTTGCATGCGTGCGTGCGCGCACTCATCAAGACTGCACTCCAGAAAAGCTGAACTTCTGGGTTCTAGCATGCATGCGTGCCCGACGATCAGCTGGCCGGTATGCATGTGCAGACCAGTTTTTGGCACTGCCACACGCACGAAGGGATCACGCTCCAGAAAAGCTGAACTTCCGGGTTCTGGCACACGTGCACCAACAATCAGCTGAGTGGTGCACATGCACACACTGGTTTTCAGCACTGCTGCATGTGTGGACAGCTAATTGTTGCATGCGCATGCACGCCAGAAACCTGGAAGACAAATTGGTAAGGCTGCACGTGTTGGGCGACATGGCTTCACATGTCACTTTGGGTACGCATGCCATAGGTTTGCCATCGCTGCTCTAATCTATACCATTTCGGGCTATACCTTTTGGGCTCACTGGAAGTCAGGAAAAATGCTGTTTCCGGCCTCCGGAGGGCCTCCGGGGGAGTGGAGAAGGCCATTTTTGCCCTCCCCAGCCTCCTAGAAAGGCTCTGAAGCCTGGGGAGAGTGAAAAACAGGCCTACCTTGCCATCGCATGTCAAAAGTGGGGGGAGCGAGGGGGGGTCGCACACACGTGTGGGGGGCGGGGCGCATAGAATTATGGGTGTGGCACGAGCGTGAGCGGCCCCCCACACTCCCTCCACTTTTGGCACGCAATGGCAAAAAGGTTAGCCATCACTGCCCAATACCATTTCAGACAAATGGTTGTCCAATCTCTTCTTAAAAACCTTCAGTGATGGAGCACTCACAATCTCTGGAGGCAAGTCGTTCCGCTGATTACTGATTATCCACTGATGGCGTTTTCCCGAACGCCATCACTCTGCTAAACAAATAATTG